CGGCCAAACGGGGAGTGTTCGGGATGGGACACTTCATATACATTTATTAATTTAATAAATTGCATAAATTACAAATGACTGTGGTGCGTACGTAAATAGCAAATGCTGATATAGAGTGCGTCGGACAACCCAAAATTGAGGCTATGCTTCTGACACCAAGCTTATACCTCAGAGTGGATTAACATAATATTAGAGCAAAGGTAATGAAAAAATAATCAGTTGAAATTAAAAATGTATTTTGACAATGAAAGGAAGAATTTTATTTAATTATTTTCAGTACATTTCCACCTAATCACATAAGAGGTAAGCAAAGCGATAGTATCCGTAAAGCAATTAATAGCTTTAGGCACACGTTTTCCCCATTAAACAACCTTCCTTAATCTTGAGCGTTGCCGTTTGTCGATATTCTAATGTTTTCCTAGCAAGGTCTTATTGACATAGACTTATGTAAATAGGATTGCCTACAAGGGGAGAAAAAATTACCTACAAAGGTTGGAAGAACATTAACATTATAAATTAACATTTCCTAAACCTAATCATTTATAGGTAGTCAAATGAATGATACACATTTGTAAAGTATGCACATGAGCTGGGTTATTTGTATTTTTTTCCATGATATAACTGAAGTTCCAAGTATAGATTTAGCAAAAATTGAGTTTTTGAAATTTTCAAAAAGTGTTAAACTAAAGTGAACTATGTTGAGGTCAAATCTTACGCCATTGGCGGAGAAATTAAGATCACCAAGAATAGGGTGGTTGCCAAATATTAATCCCAAAAACTAAAGGTCAATCGGCAGCACCCTAAATTATCATCGAGGAGCAGACACTGGTTTCGTCCAATGCTAGAGGTCCACCAGCATTTTACTTTACGCTGTCGGTAAAAGATTAGGTTCGCCAAGAATCGGGTGCTGCGAAATATGTCGCCCAGGTCAACAGGGAGTAGATAATGGTTTTGCCCAAAGCCAGAGGTCCCACCAGATCAGTGCTGACCATCGGTAATCTGGGTATTCGGTCGAATTGTCTTCCACTTCTCGTCGCTTACAGTTATAGCAAGGACATTTTAGGTCGACATTCACCAGTAACAATGGATCCAGCTCTTCTCTTGGACCTTCTTCAACCGGGTCTCGTGAAAGTAAATTGTTCAGCATCCCTTTGCGGTATTTAATCTCGAAGTCTTATTGTTGCAAAGAGATGCTCTATCTGGCTAGGCCGGACGCGTTCTTGAGTAAATGCAATAACCAGAGGAGAAACATAATATGGTTGCTCCGGACGGTAAATCGGTATCTCTCCAGATAGGGACGCATCTCCTCGATGTCCCAAACGATGGTAAGCATTCTTTCCCGATTACGGAATATGCGCGCTCCTTCGGATGAAGACTTTTGCTCGCATAGGCGACGACATGCTTGCTTGCTTGTTTGCTTGTTTGCTGTTTCACCCTTTCGAGCCCATACTCTACACTGCAGCCTTATAGGCTTATTGTATCTCATTTGTATGGGCTCTACTCCTTTTCATTCATACTTGGAGATCAGATGATTAGCGGCAGCGCGGGCGACCTACCGTCCCGTACTACTGCGGTCACCCATCCAATCTCCATCCCGACACCACGTTGCTTGGCTTGAGTAGACCGTCTTGCGTCCTTCATCAAGAACCAACGTGCCGGTTTACACGGTTACACGGGTCACGGATCTAGTTTTTCACTTACGGAGTCGTTCCAAATATTCCGTCAAAAAGTGGGAGTTCTTCCTTCAGGAGGGCCTGAAGATGCCGTTCTTCGGCCGGTGGCAGGGTTAGCGGCGGTCGGACCGGGTCCTCCTTATGATTTTCCAAAAGGTTGACGAATTCCGGACGGAGTATGTGAGGCAATGTGATTTGTACTATTCACAATAGTAGTCGTGGGTTAAGAAGTAAGTATTTTGATATATTCAGAACTTTTCGAAAAAGCTGGGACGAAATACCGGTATGTTCTATACTTGACACTTCTCGCCGTTTCTGAAGTAGCTACGTATGTTAGTGATGATCAGCACACAACATATCCTTGTACTGGCTTGGATTTTGTTGAGACAGGAAATTGAAATGGGAATATTTGAAATTCGAAAAAACGAACGGTTTGGGCCTGCGAGTCGATCTGACAAAACATCCATGCCCAGAATCAAGTCGGCGCGGCGGCGTGTCTCGGTCGGAAATTGAACGATTCGGTCAGGGCTTCGGGGTCCAACTTCGGAGTCAGACGGTTGCCGCCCTCCATGTTCACAGTCTGTCCATTGGCAAGAAGGATTAGTCGAGGGGCAGTTTCCGTTCGACGGAGGCCCTTCTGATGGAAGTGGTGAGCTATACGGTCGCGAATATAGGATCTGGTGGTCCCGATATCCAGCAAACCGACGGCGTTTAACCCAGCTACGTTTACCAAAATTTGAGAACTGCGTTCTAATTGTTGGAGGTTGGCAGCCAGAAGCGAGATTAGGGCGGGTATATGGATTGGTCTCGGGACAGTACAGCGCCGGTTTCATTTTCCGCCTTGCAGCTGCACGGACAACACTTCCTCCGTTCCACTACGAGAGCAGAACACTTTCTAGGGATTCATGCAGCTGTCTCGATAATGCCTTGAATTTTTCCGTTTGGTGATTCGGGACAAAGTAGTGCAGTTTATCACCCGATCAATAGAACTGAGGCCGGCTGGTTGGGCTGGACGGTCAGTCCTGCGGGTAATGCTTGCGGGGTGTAAAGCTCCGGAGGGGCTCGTCGGGCGAAGTCAGCTCTTGGTGTGTCAATTCATACTCTCGAACCATCTTGAAAAAGGAATGGATGTCATGGAGTCGGATCGGCGAATGTGATGCCGGTACTCGGGGCGTAGGTTTCGGTAATCCGGGCATAGGTTCCGGTACAGCCACTGCTGTTCCTAGACGGTAGAAATTTTATCATGTTTCCCAATCATGGTCTGCATGTCGGTGACGTAGGATATAGAGGGCTTCCCCGGTCTCTGAAGTCGACGGCCAATTTTCGCATCCAAGTCTCATAGAGTTGAAGTAGCAAGTTCGAACGCTGGAATGGACTCGTGCCAGCTCTGCAAATAATGCCGGCTATTTCGGAACCACAAGGCAGCTTCTTCTTGGAGTAGTTCGCGAAGAACCTGCAGCAAACTGTCGGGGTTTGTTTGTTGGGATTGGGGGATTTCTTCTAGTCGTTCGGGCAGCGGGGTCTCCTTTCTAATTTATTTTAATCAATACCGAACTTTGTTCAACTAATAGGTATAGCTTTATTGAGAAAAAAATGCGGTTCAAAAACTTATGGTCAATTTCTGCGTTTTTCATGTTTATTTTCACCACAGGTATAAATTGGGAAATAAGGATCTTGTATTTGGTATTTGTGCATTCGACATATTATCTATCAAAATAAAACTTGTATGTACAGTCGTGAGCATTGAAAGTGGGATACCCGACTAACAGGTCTGGTAATTTTTCGCTATTTTGGCTAAATCGGTCTTTTCTCTACAATGGATTTTTGGTCAAATATGACAATCCCTGTCATTGCCGTAGGTATAGCTGGTGAGCACGTTTTACTATAGGAAAAATCGGGTGTCCCACTTTCAATGGTCACGACTGTACTTCCAAACAAACAAAAATCTCCGGAAATTTAAAAATTGGATTTAAACAAAATTTTCAAAGATTTCAGGATTTTTATACTGTATTACTACTGCTAACAATATCGAGCTGCCAAACAGCGCTTTGTTGTTAAGGGCTGCCAAGCCAAGGAAATTGTTTGTCGTACAGGGTTTTCCCGTATATTCTTGCACCCCACCTGCAGTTTTTAACGTTACAGGTAGATGATAGGTGTAAATATAAGAGTTGTGCAGTCTTGTCAGTTAAATTTTTAGAATCCATCGTCAGAAACAAAAATTTATTTTCAGAAATTTGAAATGTTGCGTAGCTACTTTCAACTTTTTTCAAATGGAATGCCCCATATTTGATTCTATATTGTAAAAGAGCACAATTTTCCGATTCCAAAAATATATAGTTTCTCTATATTTGGTTAAGCCGTCTCCAACAAAAATTGTGAAAATACTATCCTACTGCCTTAGATTTTGTGAACCATTCTACCTGTCAAGGTGACAGCTGCAGCTAAAATTTGAGGCATTTGGTTTCTCTCATAGTTTTTTTAAAATTTTTAGAGCCAAATATGTTGGATACGGCTCAACCAAATATAGACAAACTCTATATTTTTAGAATCGGAAAATTGTGCTCTTCAAGAATATAGTATCAAATATAGGGCACCATATTTGAAATTTCAAATTTCTGAAAATAATTTTTTGTTTTTGACAATGGATTCGAAAAATTTAGCTAAAACTGCACAACTTTTTTATTTACACCTATCATCTAACTGTAAAGGTAGAGGCTGCAGGTGGGGTGCAAAAAATATACGGGAAAACCCTGTACATAATTTTTCTAAATACCCCTCGAGCTTCAAAATTAGCAAAATAACTTCTTAGTCGAGCGTGTTTTTCTCACAAATTTCACTCATCTTACGAAATCGTAAAATTATAGATGGAATGCAAGTGATTGTGAAACAATGTTTATGTTATACCAACCGTTATACCCGTAATAATATTAATTTATGTGATATTACCCCTGAACATTTTTACATTTCTTATTTCTACAAGCCTCTATAAGTACACATACTCATTACTTAGTCAATTTTCCCTTGATAACTGCCTTTCTTATTCTTGAAGATAATAGTGATTCTAAGCCTATTTCTTTACTCCAAGAAATCAGAAAGGAGTAATATCATATTATTCTCTTGAGAATTACGAACCAAACATTGAAATATCGTAATAATGAAATACTAAATAATGCCTACTAGTGAATTGGCAAATAATGTTCCATCGTCTATTTTTGAGATTGTATCAGAAAAATCTATTAGAGTTTTTTGTTGGACTGTAGCAGTCATTTTAGCGCCTATAATAACCTAATATTAATCAATGTATTGTTTAAATATTTTCTTTTACAGTTCATCCCCTAATACAAGTACCAAATCAATTAGTTGGAGCACCTGTAAATACTGATGTAACGTTACAGTGCCATGTTGAGGCCTCACCAAAGGCTATTAATTATTGGACAAGGGAAAGTGGTAAGTAAAGTTAAAGCGGTAAGCATAACGCTCTACTATGCACCTCTAATACACGTTTAATCATTTTGGTGTATTTATCTATACCAACTTTTAATAACTAATACATCATGGCCTGACATTCGTGTCGAACGCGTTTCAAGGGGGGCAACAGCACCAATCAAAACTTCAAAATTTTGCACTCTGATGCTTCTTAGATCCGAATTAGTTCAGATTTTCTTACAACTTTTTCAGATGATTATCTTTACGTCACGATTGTTTTATCTAAATTTTGAGTTTTTATCACAAAAAAAATAAAACTCAAGCACCTCATCAGTTAATAAAATGAAAATCACGCGAAATATCGTTAATCGTGCCCTGGATATTGATATTACCAATATTTCTACCAAAGCACATCGGAAAACATTGCCGAAGTTTTAGGTTTTCCAGATTTTTTGTCAGCATAGGGAAATCTGAATGTTTAGTTTAGGGTTTCCGATGCGAGTGTAACAAAGCAGCAGTAGCTGGCTGTCTAATGGTAATCGAAAGAAAGGACAGGTATCATGAGTGAATAGCAGGAAGAGGACTGAACTGAATGCAACAGCCCTTAGCAAACATAGGCGCCATCTGCTGGGAAGTTTGTTATGATCAACTTTGGTAGGTACTCAAAACTCAGTGAACAACAAAGCAAATTTGCATTTGGCCCCCGGCATTGTTTTGCAGGGTTTGGCGTTAGCATGCATCAGTGAATCGATAAATCACCGCATCCGTGGCATTGCAACATTTTGGTAAATTTAGCCACACGCGGGATTTAATGTGGGTAATTTTGTAATTTTGTAGAGAGGGGAGCTAGAGCCCCCCTTAAATCTTGGGCGAGCAAGCTTCACCCAATTGTTGTTAAGATATCTAATTACAATATGCAAGTACTAGCGCATTCACAATTAAATAATACAACTACTTCTAAAGTGTAACATAATTTTTCTCCTTTTTCAGGAGAAATGATAATCTCCAATGATAAATATTTTATGACTGAAATCAACAACTCATACTACAGTGTCCAAATGAAACTCACAATCCGACTGATAAACAAATCTGATTTGGGTGGTTACAAGTGTATCTCGAAAAATTCAATAGGCGATGCTGAAGGAAACATTCGACTGTATGGTAAGAATCTTGTTATTTAATAATTGATTTTTATTATATTTTGGATATAATGTTTACAGTAGAAACTATCTACCAGTTTAAATAATATATCTGTTTTATTTAGTTTGTTAGGATTTTCAAGCAGACCACTTGCAAAAATACACATACAAGCCCCAATACATAACAAATAAATGCACGGTCATAAAAATGCTAAAGCTACGATTGCTAGTAGAACAGCAGTCTGGAAACATCTAATTTTAAATGCGACATTATATTTGCATCGGTTGTATAATGTCAGAGATGATATATGAGCTGTTAGAAACTTATTTATATATTGACATTCTTAAAAGTACAAAGGAAGTGACAGAATTTCACATTTGATTTGGATATTTAAAATATAAAAATTCAATAACTTTACACCGTGGTATATCACGATAAGGATTTCGATTATTAAATGATAATTTATTGTAGTTTTAATTTGCTTGGAAAGGACCCCGCAATATTTAAATGGAAATTGGTTACCCGTGATATTTGGATGAAATTTAAATATGTTGTTGGGGATGCCATAAGCAACATTTTTTACCATGGGCACAACCCTGTATATATGACAGGTGAGGCGTGGTTAGCTGTCAAATATTGGAATCTTATATCCAAAAGCAGAGTGACTATGGCAGATTTTGATGAACGAAGTATCGATGTCTACTAAGTCGACCAAGTTAAGTCAAAAAATGTCAACCATTTTGACACCTGTCAAAACCCTGCCAAATTGAAGCACTCATCTTTCCCATTTTTCAATATTTCATGATGTCATTTGACATTTTTAACTTGTATGTAAATTCTGAATTCAAAAATTGAAAAAAAAAAGACAGAACTGTCAAAACCTGTCATTTGTTTTAGAAGAAAAAAATACTTTAATTTGATTCTTTTTTGTTTCAAGGTAGTTTATTGGTGATAAAATATTAAGCAAAGTTTGGGTATGTCACATTTTGACAACTGTCAGAGTCAAAATGTGACATGCATGAACTTTGTTTAATGTTTTATCACTAATAAACAATCTTGAAAGAAAAAAGAACTAGATTAGAGTATTTTTTTCTACTAAAACAAATGACAGGTTTTGACAGTTCTGTCATTTTTTTTCCAATTTTTGAATTCAGAATTCACATACAAGTTTAAAATGTCAAATGACATCATAAAATATTGACAACGGGAAAAGATGAGTGCTGCTGTTTGGCAGGGTTTTGACAGGTGTCAAAATCATTGAAATTTTTCGACTTAACATGGTCGACTTAGTAGACATCGATACTTCGTTCATCAAAATCTGCCATAGTCACTCTGCTTTTGGATATAAGTTTCCAATATTTGACAGCTAACCACGCCTCACCTGTCATATATACAGGATTGTGCCCATGGTAAAAAATGGTGCTTACGGCATCCCCAACAACATATTTAAATTTCATCCAAATATCACGGGTAACCAATTTCCATTTAAATATTGCGGGGTCCTTTTGGGATATGGGTCACCCTGGCTTACTTGCCTTTTAACTGATATTTTCTCGGTTGTCAAGTCACATGTGATTTCCACACGGAAATATATACTTCTGTATTCTGTATTCCCAAAAAGTGTAGAATGTCTTGAATCAATCCTTGCTCTGTCCATTGTTCGTAGGACAGCCTATGAAAGTCTATGAATGCGAAGTGGAAGTGAAGTGGTACGTTATATTCTATTCAAGGGCGTCCATAGAAATTTTTGCAGGGGGGGAGGCAAAAACCTGATTTGCTTTAATTTTTTCAAATTGGACCATTTATGTAGGTAACCATACGTATATTACTGAATCAACATATATAGTCTAGTCCAGAATATACCCATTTGTAATGACGTCATTTTTGATTATCTTTGTTTGGTACATTCCGAACAGCCCAGGGAAAACAATTTTGAAAGAAGTGGGTGTCTGAGCATTGTTCGTTTCATAAAGGTAGGTAATCAACCTTTATATTTTTCTGCCATTGTGAATCAGTTATGAGTTAAGACATACGTTTTTTCTCACCTGGATAACACTACAAATGGGTATGATTCCGACTTTAACTACACATGAAAAATAAACACAGAGATAATGTCAATTTGATAATGATTTATAAAATTTTTGAGCCAAAAATAAAAATGTTAAATTCCTAGATGTGCTCCCAAACTCTTTATTCATATTTTTATAATAATAATCGCCAGGCCTAGAAGGGGCAAGTGCCCCTCCCCTATGGGCGCCCCTGATTCTGTTAATTTATAAAGGTAGGACAGTAGACCCGGCCAATAGATCGATAGGTTTCGATGTCCGCTATTTCGCCCTTTTTGAAAAGCTTCTGCTTTTGCATTGTACTGCATTTCAGGGATGTTTCCTCCCAGTGAACATTTATTATATATTTTGTCTTTGACAGGTGATTTTCTGTAAATCTGTTTTGGTGCCTCCTGTATTAGGTCAGGGTACGATAGAGGTATACAAAGAGTCATAAAAGCTTTCAGTTTGTTTGGAGACTTCCTTTTTTTTAGTCAATTCATGGTTTTGTCATGATTGCTGTTTCGATTGCACTGGAAATGTAGGTTCTCTCCATTTTCTTGGTTCTCTTTCCCTTTTTTCCATATGTTTATTTATTTTTTCAGCGAGTTGAATCAAGTTCATTTTATCTATTTCTTTGGCTCTTTCTGAGAGGTCTCTTTGTAAATGTGTACCTATTTCATTTGCAGTTGTAAAAATAGTCGACTAGTTTCGCTCTCACTTGCAGACTGGGAAGGCCTAAAACTTTTTTTTTTCGACCTTTCCGTGGTCCGATCTTGGCTTTAAATCCAAAGATTCCTCCGAAGCTACACAAGAGAAATAATTTCCTTAGGTATGAAATTGTACATTCCATTCTCCAATAAAACATCTTGTGCCGGAACACCCTGCTGGCAACAAACAAATTATCCGAGCGGTTGCAAAAAAGAGCACTGCATATTGTGCCTGGCGTAGAAACCAATGCAAACAATCTCGATCGTTCTTTACGGCTGCCAAAAATGATTGCAACCGTATAACCAATGAGGCTAAGGAGTTACACAACCAACAAGTGCGTATTCGCGACTTTTAGAATGCCCGAGTGAATCAAAGTCCTTTAGGTCCTTCGCCAAGACTAAGAAAAAATTTCCTTTCCACCTTTAGTTAAGGACAATAATTCCATTGTGGTATTATCAAAGGAAAAAGCAGATCTCTTTGCCAAATAATTTTCATCCAATTTCACGATGGAGAACAATGGCACAGCGCTACAGGTACTGCCACACATTGGTTCTTACATGGACAACGGTGTATTAAGATCTGAAACTATTGGAAGAATTCTTCTGCAACTTGACACTGGGAAATCTTGTGGTCCCGATGGCATTCCACCAATTATCCTCAAAATTTGGGCGCAAGAATTGACTTCAGTTTTTTGAAAACTATTCCACTCTCTTACAGTCGAGGCGTTCTGGACCAGAGTGCAGCCTATCCCGAAAAATAGCAAGAAAATCACTTCTAGCAATTATCGTTCCATCTCACTTATATGCGAATTTTCGAAAGTAATGGAAGAGGTAGTCAACCTGAAACTAATTGAATACATACCTCTAAGCCAATAAGCTCATCTATGATAAACAGTATGGATTTCATTCCAAAAGATCAACAAGGGATTTGCGATCTGCTAGCGTTCCTACGTCAGTCATATTTGGAACTCGATTCTCCAAAAATGAGGCGAATCCAGAATTGTTGCATTGGACATCTCCAAGGCTTTTGGTCAGGTGTGACACAAAGGCCTCCTCAGCAAACTTCCATCGTATGGTCTCCCGAACGAACTTTGCCATTGGCTGGGGTGCTTTTTGGAAGGCATGTCACTGCATTTTGCGGTCAATGATGTGTATTCTGATACACTGCCTATGAATGACGGCGTTCCCCAAGGCACAATTATGTTTATCATTTTTATAAATGATTTGGTAAATGTGACAAGAAAACCCATATACAGCTTTGCTTAACAACCTAGTCAAATTCAATGCTTCCAAAACTCGAGCAACAGTATTTTGAAATGAAAAACCTTTCGCCAATGATTTTAGGGATGTTGGGACAAAACCTTTCTATCAATCCCTCATAGTATCTATTCTTGGGGTGATTGCATCGACCAACTCGTCTTGGCATGACCATGTATCTGCCAAATCGCTTCTCAAAAATTAGGTTTTTTGTCTCGTGCAAAAAACTTCTTTACTTCTGAACAACTTCTTCTCCTTCATAAGTCGCAAATCAAACCATGTATGAAAGCATACTTTATCGCACGTAAGTAGGAAAATATACTTACAACATATTGTTAGACATAATTATGCAACTAGGACGAGAGAAGATCGTTGCAGATTTGTCTTAGTAACAGGAATCCTAACTTGAAATGTTATTACATAAATTAATATACTGTTGTAAATACTGTTTCCACAACTAGAGCGATGCTCCCAAGTATCGTTTGTTCTATTAGAGGCAGTACAAAAAAATGCAATAAAAATTATCGATAATCCGGATCTCACCGATCTCTCGAACATATAGTGTAGGTGCCCAGCGACATAAAGTTGCATTTATGAATACTGTCATGGAAAGTTTTGTGTGGCTAAATTGCGCCTAGTCTACCACCTTTTTCATTTATGAAAACTTTCGTAGTGGGGGCTTGGGCTTTTCTTTTCTAGTTTTTCCGAAAGCCGACCATTTCGCATCGTGCAAAAAATTTATGGATATCGTTTTTATTTTTAGTGGAATCGCGAGACAAATTCATGAAAAACGTGAAAAAAAAATATGTCCGACAAAAATGTTGGACCGTTAAAGGTGTCTACCAACTCAAACATATCCAATTGACAAGTTAAAAAAATTTTTGGATAACGAGCTGATTTTTTCAGAATTACTTGATTAAAATATGTAGAATATAAATATCTAAGTGTCCGACATAGTAGATTTTCCGATTTTCCAGTTCGACGCGAGAAAATTATCGGTTTCACGAAG